TACGTATCAATGCACGCGTGTGTTGGATCTCAAAGAGATTCCGTGGCTATTGCCAACGGCATTCACGAAATCACGTTCCAATTGCTTTCAAGTTTGTATTACTTACATAGAGTTAACTTGTTCAGAGTTTCTGAGATTTTAACTTGATTAGTTTGGAATAGGTGGTTAGCATTTGATTCCTCTTGATATAGAGAAAGCAATGAATGAAAACTTTTATCGTATCATTTGAGGACGCCAATTTTGGCAATGAGAAATCAATTAAAAATGTGCCTTATTAAAAATTCGCATCCCGTACACATGTCGAAAGTGTAGCTGCGAATGACAGACCATTTAGAGTGAGGCGGAAAAGTGGCGCGAAAGTGAGACCGGTCAATGGTCGGTTGGCGGGAAAAGTGACACGTTGTCGCGGCCATCATGGATTTTCTTTCCTGTTATCTATATATGTACGATGTATTTATTACTGTAATTTTCGTATAAACATGTTCATAAAACCATGACCTGAACAGTTGTAAATATACAAATTTGCCATGGTGTAAGTCATTATAATTTTACATAACAACATACAAAGTTTAAGACTTCCTTTTTGCGTAATAATGCACATAACCATCTAGTATATAATACACATGCATAAAACAATAGGAATGCAAAGAAAATTTAAATTTTCGTCTGTGTTGATGAACTTCTGGTTACATACGTGTTCTTATGTTACTGCGAACCTTTCCGCAGACATTATTGACATTAGTAAGACAATTTAGAATTTTAGTGAAAATATATGTTTCATTTCTTGATAAATGTGACTATTGTAAAATGAATAATTTTATAACGTATCTATTACTATTGTACACTAAAATAATTTAAAAAATTAACTCGTGTCTTCTGTTATAAGAGCAGTCAGTTAAAGGGTATTTTTGAGACATCACCAACCATCTCTGGTTCCTATGAAGGGTTTATACAGTATGAACTAATCTTTCACGCATCTCAATCAGCCGTCATATTTTTCATGGATATTTGTCGCCAAAAGAGACCTGTATTTTTTATTTGTTAGACTTATTGATCAATAGTATTGTAATATAATTAACATCGACATAAGATTACTTGAATCTTCATTCTAGAGACTACGCATTTAATTCGTAAATTAATTTTAACAGGAAGCAAATCTTTAAAATTAACATCGAATAAACGTCTTCATGCCTCGTCATGAAGTGAAGGCCGTTTTGTTCGTCTCGAGCCTTTTTTTTGCATTCGTATGTTCTCGTAACCTATGATTATGTATACTTTTGGTTTTTTTTTTCAATTAGAATCTTTTAATTAAAATATTTTTGTATTTATATTGACCACATTTGCATTACAATTTCATTTTGAATGCTGATTTAATTTTACATAGAAATATCTCATTATCAACGTCTTTTGTTTTTATTTTTCTTTAAATTCTATCTTTTAATATTAATATACGTATATTCTCTCTCTCTCGTCTCTATATTTTTAAAAAGTGTAAGAGTGACAACAAGATGTTTTATACAAGCGTTTACATAATCGTACCGAATCCGTCGTAAATACGTCGATAAATAAAATACAAGTTGCAGTTAAATAGTAATAATCTTTCTCTGTTTATCCTATAATCAATGAAAGAGACAAGTATATTTGAAACTTTACTCCAGCATTCAAGTTAACCTCAAAAGTCTGACATGTGACCTTAGTAACAGTTGACTTTCCTTTGCCAAATGAAAGTGTTATAAGGTGCTTATTAAATAGTTGATAGTAAGATTCAAACCTGAATATTTAATACGTTATTAGATATTTCTAGTATGTTTAGTTGTCGATGAATACAAGATTTATAATAATTGATTTCTCTATTAATTCTCAAATATAAGTGACTGGCTTCCTAGATAAAGATAAATTAAGGTCGCTACATTTGTTCTTTTTTTTAACATTTAAATTTCGCTATTCTTATTAATTTGGTATAAAAAATTAGACTTAGTATATTTTATTGTTATTATATGTCAGAAAAAAACGTCGAGTAAGGCATAGGCAAACCGGTTTCAGTACAGATCAAACAGTATGTAAGTTTACTTACAAATACTTACGAAATTAGCAACACTTACTGTAAACGCGCATTCAACAAGGACGAGGTTTCAACTTTCTCTATGTTGTCTTGTTTGGCTATGAAATCTCGATGTGGCTGGGAGGTTTACTAAACTGGGCTTGCTATATGCTCCTAGTATATACTAATATAATATTGCCTAATAAGGGAATGGATTTCTTTTCCTGTCATTATCTTTTAGTTTTATTATGTTGAGTTCACTTGAATAGTAATAATTTAACGTGATTACAAGTGTAAGGAAGAAAATCTGGAAATGAGCCAGTATTGACTCAATAGTAGCTTTACTAAAACGACGTTTTTGTCCCCTCGACATTCATTCTGACACTAGACTTTGTAACGAAAGCACGTCATTCGCGCCAAAGGATTGTAATTAATAATGTCTAAAACAAGATATACAAAAATCACAAAATTGAAAACATATTTTATTTCTAATTAAACATTAATCTTTTGATAAAGTAAAAATAAATTGCTATTTTAGTTTCTAACTTTATTAATAAAAAATATTAATTATTATTAATGATATTTGGCCTCGATCACAAATATTAATTATAGATTTAATTAAGAATAATGGAAACGTAATTCTCCAATTAAAGTGAAATGTTACCCACAAATAGATTATGGTGATGCGACTCCATATTGGGAAAGAGTGATTTTAAACAAAAAAACTTTCACATTTAGAAGAATCAGTTTCACTAGTATTAATATTAATCGATTTTGTTTGTTGTTTTCTTGCGAGAAAAATAAGATTCACTTTAAAAAATTATTAGAATAGCAAATTAAAGTATAGTGTTACCCAAACTTAACACAATTTTGGTATTAGCAGGGCGAAAAGTGATGTTGAGGTTTGGAAAACATACATGTGCAAATCTTCCAGTAGGCTTCTATTTGCACAGATTTGAACTCGCATCGAACACAAGCAGATATAAAATTTGAATAGTGTTATACTTATCCCTTAATGCAATATGTTTTAGTCTTTGAAGCTATGGTATAACTATTAATTATTTCTCCATGTAAATGACTATTATTAATGCTTACAAGTATGTAAATCGCTGTAAGCTCAACACAGTTCTATGTCAAATCTCGCGCCTTTCGATTAGTAGGTATTTAGAAATGTAAGCGGACCGCATACCAAGCCAAGTCGGACAATACGTGTGTCGCCTTATTGATAATTGAATATTCATTCGCACATGCACAAGTCACTGATAATTTTACAACCTTGTGTCTATTCGGTGTTCGGTCGCGTGACGTCAATCTCACATGACGCGTCTATGTTAAAAAGTTGTAGCTATCTGTTCGGATTTGAAATTAATACAGCGATGAGATTTTTGTACTACCTATTAATATTCAAGTAGTGAATATTAGGTTAATATTACAACAATTTGTTACTGATTAGTAGATTATTGATATAGAGTATTATTAACTTTTAACACGTTCAGTGCCACCAAATCGTGCTTTCCTAGTTCACTTTCATACGTGAAAATCGCGTGGCATTGAACGTGTTACATGCCAATATTTCTTTCTATTTTATATGCTAGATCTTAGTTGACCGTCATGTTTACAAGTGTTTAAATGGAACAAAAGTTGAAGTATCAGCTATTCTTTACACTGCTTTATTTCTATGAACAATAGTTAATTCAGTTGAAATTGACTTCGGTCACATGACTAATGACTATTGCTTTAAGTATTTATTTAAAAGTAATTTAAAATTTTCGGACCTCTAATTTTCTTTCTTTTCTGATCTTATAGACTTCAATACCTAAAACCTTCATGATTACATACAAATAGTTACATTTGGATCATTGTTTGTAGTTTATAGTATGCCATTTTAATAAGGGGAATACACATTAAGTACACGTTTCTTTAGGTGTGTTAGATGCTTCTTTGTGTGTGTTTTAATAAAAACATCTCATGTACATTGACCCTTATAGAATGTGCCGAGTTACTCGGGCGTAGTCAGTTTACCTGGGGCTGTAATCTTCCTGGTTCGTTGTATCTGCTGGTATTTGATCCCCTCCCCTGGCCCCCCTCCCCTTACCTCAGCTTCATCATTCTATACATGATTGTTAGTTGCGTGATCTAACGGAACGTAAGCAAAAACCGCATGTCGTTAATTACGCTTGTTTTATGATTTTTTTTTAATTCTTGTTGCGATCTTAATTTTTGTTCTGTGTTTATAATTATTATTTGTTATCTTAGATTTATTTCCTTTTGTTTTTTTTTTTTTCATTTCTTATTATTGCTTAAAACTTTTTCTATCGTTATTACAATATTAGTTACTATATGTTGTCATAGTAAATTATAACGGAATAATTCAATTGAAGCTTCCGAATTTAGCTCATTTGTTTCGATGACTTTCTTAAAAAATAAACATAAATTATATATTTACTTGTAAGTTGTAAGATCCGCTTCAACTAAGGAATAATATAAATGCCAGAGTATTGAGTCATAGACTACGATCATTCAACAATTGCAAATGACTAACATCTTTACGTGATTTATCCGCCTTTTGCATGGACAATGTGAATCTGTTGTCAACAGGCAAGAGCTAAATATGTTTAAGCAGGACAATGACGTATATTCTGTCTTAAACTATAAGGAAAAAAGGGTCTTGACAGACGGACGGACGTTCCGTTTTTTCCCTATGAGGTACGGAACATTAAAAATGTACTAATTGCGTCGAAAATGTTTAGTACCTACTTATGTTGCCGTAGTCCTTATAACCGGGGAATTCCAGGTCGACATAAAATAGCAGTATTTTTGAAGCATCTACTACGAAACAACTACATTGCTAATCTTTTTGTGTCCGCGAGTTTCTTCGATTGAAAGATTAACAGCACATTATTTGAACGTTGTTAATACTTAGCAACTGTGTATTTGATTATTTTTTTATTGTTTCCAGTTGAAATCTACCTATCGCCTGTGGAGACACACTGCAGCAATGTGGACTACTTCATACCTGACGAGAATAACGAGACCAAAGGATTCTCTGACGATGCCATGAACAGGTAAAGTTTACATTTATTAACACAAATTCTATCTTATTTGTAAAGGAGCCAGCTTAAAACCAGCGCAGTTTAGTCTGTCCTTGCTTCGCTGAGTGACTTTCCTCCACACTTTTAAGCCAAATTTCTGAAAAAGAATTCATTATTGTTCGTCTAATAGAGTACAAGGGTGTATAGATGTTTTTAAGGAGTATATTTTTGCCGTTTACCATAGACTGAAATTTATTGGCGAGTTTATTGAATTAATTCTTTCGATGTCTAAAACAGTCAGGGTGTCTTAGTTTGTAAAAAAAGTATTCATTTGTTTATATTATATATAATTAAAAATTGTCCGATTGTAATTAATAAGGTCATTTGATTCTAAGAAATTTATTATACCATAGTGGTATTACAATCAAGATAAAGACCTAAACATTTGTAACCATATATTTGCAAAGTTGACACCACATTCAAACGGTACACTGCGACGTTGAATAAAAACAAGTGGGTCAAATAACAAATGTGTCGATATTATGTTCACTTACTATACATAGCACGTTCCATTTGTCTGTTTTAGGCAGCTCTTTTTATTTAGTCTTTCTTGATTTTTTTTATTATCCGACTGACATCAAATGATACAAGATAAAATAAGGAATATTTAATATCTATATGTAAGTTTATTTGCGACATCCTGTAACCTAAACAATTTTGTGTTGTAAACAGTATTAGATTCGTATTTTACAAGCTTGTAGATTTTTTAAACACCCTTTGTTTTCTGTTAAAAAGATTGAAAAAAGAATTCGATGGACTATCCTATTCTTGTATAGAGGACGTATCGAAAAGATCTGTCTAATAGCGTTAAGAAAAGCACCTAATGATTTTTTTTCTTGTCTATGAGCAGCGGTCACTCAACATTAGGTGGCTTGCGACCGCAATTAATAAAAATTAGTTTTTGTTTTAACTGTTATTTTATCTGTTTACTTGTGTTACAGGCTGCACATGGCGCGGTCAACAGTGGCACTGTTCATAGTGGCTTTCCTTGTACTGTTCATTGCGTTCTGGACTGGCGTGGTTGGCTGCTGGAAGCGCAGTCCTGGCAACATCACCGCGACCGCTATACTCATGCTTGTCACTTGTAAGTGTTATGTCATGACACTATAGTTCTGTTCACTTCTACATAGTTATTCTTCTCAGTTGCTTAAGTCTTTACAGACTGGTCGTGGTTATCAAGTGGTCTGTTCTTTTATTTATTTGACAGAAATTGACTTCAGCCACATTTAAAGTCGTTAAGGTTACAAAGGGAATCATAAGCTTAAATTTTACGACAGAAATATACAATAATACATTTTAGTTGTTGTAAATGTGTCATTTAAAATGTGACAAACTATTAGTATAGTTAACTGGACATTTTATATTATTTTATAGAATACTCAACAATAAATACTTCATCGGAATTCCAATCCATCTCATTTTAACCCGTGTGCTTCTTAAAACTGTACTTACAAAGGTTGATTGTTGAATAAAAATTCATTTTGTCTGAGATACTATAAAATTTCCTATTTCTAGCTACTCTTTTTTAATTTTTCACCTAAAACAAATATCAAGGACTTATATTTCAGTATGCATTGTTTGATGACCGCATACCTTGAATTAGCTGAATCAGAATAACATCGATTTAAATATTTTCTGTCGTCACGCATAATTCAAGGCGCCTTTTGTATCGAGATAGTAACTTACAGCTCTGCCCACACCTTATATAACACGCATTGTATTATAATTAATATTTATCATACACATCCGCCGACACGAAACTACGCAAGAACTTAAATATGAGTTAATTTGTCGTAATTAAGGAAGTAAAGTCATTACCTAAAAAGTTATAGTAGATTTTACCCGCGACTCCGTCCTTGCCGAGTTAAAAAAAAACTTAGTAAGTAGCCTATGTATTCTTTCAGACTATTTATATCTATTATACATCTATGCGAAATTTTACCAAGATCCATTGAACTGTTCTAGAGTTCTAACAAACATATAAACATTCGCATTTATAATATTATTAAGAAGTAACAAGGTCTCTTTTAGTACAAACAATATTTCATTTATAATTCACATTTTTAACGTTGGTTTTCATTACCTAAACTCTTGTGTAACATTATTTTTGTTGTTTCAAAGTGACAATATGTCGTAACCGTATCAGCAGTGAAAACCAATTGTAATGAATGTTCAAAGAACATTCTTGATACCTTAAATATCAGTTCCAAATGACTGTTGCTTCCGTTAATTCAAATCAATCTGTTAAATGTTGAACCATCGCCAATACTGTTACAATATAATTCTTAAATTACTGCCAAGAATGTACCTTTTTAAATTTAGTTCATACCATTTTTATACTCTTTAACTTGAATATCTTACTAATATTATAAATGCGAAAGTTCTGATGGATGTATGTGAGAAGGCATCTCCGGTACAGTTCAACGGATCTTGATGACATTTGGCACAGATGTAGAACATAGTCTGCAGGCGAATAGTTAAGTTTTTTTTTAATCCGTGCGGACGGAGTAGCGGGCGACAGCTAGTTATCTAATAAATTAAAAATAATGTAGATTTCGTAAGTTTTTACTATTCTGTTAAGTATCATACAAGGTAAGCGCCACCGACTTCGCTTACCTTAGCTTCGCACTGAACTAAGTTCATCAAGCACTAACTAAGTTCCCTTTAAAGGTGACCTTGAACGTGTTGCAGAAATATTTATGGTTGCAATTGCCTAAATCGATTAAACTAGATTTAAAGAACTTTTTCAGTGACATATTTCTATTTTAATTTCAGGTCTGCTGTCAGCGGGTGCAATGGCTTTATGGCATGGCGTGGAGTTTTACGAAAAGGAGAAGGTGGTTGGAGAGGAGTACTATCAGCAGTGGCCCAATGTAAGTTTTCCTGTTTTACTAATGTTGCAGGTTTTAGTTTATACATGTTTTAGTGAATTTAAGACAGGTTATTATGAGGATAGTATGTAAACCAAGTAAAAGTCATAACTTCTGATAAGAAGAGATCAAAAGCTGAAATAACTCTGTGAAAAAAACTAGAAATCAATGGGCTAAAAAAAGGAAAATTAGTTTTAGTATTTAGCTACTTACCTCGCTGGCGCAGTGACCCAAAGTAGGTCTTGGACTGGACACAAGAGAATTTTATTAGTTACTCTTTTTTTTCTCTAAAATTGTATTATAATATATATAAATCCAGAAAGAAGAAAATCCGATTTATGAGAAATTATTTGTATTGTAAACCTAGAATATAATTTAATCATGCTCCAGGTCTCTGTTTTATATTAATTACATAAGACTTGTACAATATACTATAAAATCAGATTGAGAAACATTTTCATATGATTGATACGTAGTGTGTATAACAAAACTCATGACAGGTTTTAAAAGACAACTCAGCGATTTGGTACGACTGGTCGTACATACTCGCTTGGTTAGCCGTCGGTGTCTCCTTCGGAAGCTCCATACTATTCTTCTCTGCGGCCATTTGTCTCAGCAAAGAGAAGCGCCGCGAGCAACAGAATAATGTGCAGTACATAATGCCAGGTCAGACCGCCATTGCGGCCGCCATCTTGCCAACATCTCGGTGGTTGATTAACGCTTCACGGTTTTGGATGTTTTTCCTTACAGATGGTGGACTTCTTGTGTATTTATTGATCCTGGATGTATATTTATTTTTTGATGTGTATAAAAAAAACAATAAAATATCTATGAGGTTTTTATAGACTTTGCCATTTAGTTTATGGTTTAGGAGACCCCATATGAAAAGGTTTAAACTATAACTAAATCGTTGGATGTGTAAGTATCTCACACTAACAAAATGCTTTTCTCTTTCTTTTCATGTTTCTATGAAACGTGGCTACTGCGTATAACGAAACGACCAATGTACGATCGTCCCTAACGCAAATATCAATAAATAATTGCGCTCTGTCTTAATATATCTGGTTTATCCCATGTTATACGGAACTAACACGCTTCCTACTTACAAATAACACTAACATCTTCTCTGGGATTGTACATTTTACATGATTAACATAACCTTTATTATATTTTTGATACAAACATATCTGTACATACATACACAAAATACATTGACGAATACTGTACACGCACATACACATATCATTCCTCGATGCTGAATATCTTGGTATAAACCAGATATTGCGAGATAACGCTCGCGTTTGGTACGACTGGTCGTACATAGTCGCGTGGTGTGGCGTCGGTCTGTCGCTGCTGTCGGCCATTTTGTTTTCATCGGCCGCCATTTGCTTGCGCGGCGAGCGAGAAAGAGAGGAGGCTCTTAATATGCAGTATCTCATGCCTGGTAAACAGCTTTATCATCTTTAATATCATATTTACAGGAGACGTTTCATGTTTTATTACCCCATTTAAATACCATTTTACATACGTGCAGATATTAATGTAAATATACACGGACCTTTTGCTAACGCGCTTGCAGGGTGCATGCAGTTTAATGAAACTGTTAAACCTTTTATATTTTCACGAATCATTCATATTACAAATCTTTCTTAACTTCTAACACAATCGTACGTTTACAGTGTACCCACAAAAACAGCAGTACGCGTACGCGGGATACCCGCCGCCTCAAGCGTACCCCGGACCTTACTACCACGGCTCCCAGTACGGGCCCTACAACTACTGAGCATACGACCAGATGAGGGACATTGTGGCGGCGACCTTCGCCAACCCGGCCGCCCCGCAGGCACCCGCGCGCAACCCTTCCCCCGACAACCCCCCAAACAAACCAGCCTCCATCCCCTCCTCCATAGAGACGTTCAACTCCCACCGTAAAATTAGACGACCCAAGCTCGGCGATAAAAAAGTGTACCGCCCGGTGCGGCGGAACACGCTCTCCAGGATAGACGAGGCGCCGCCGCAGACCAGGCCGCGTTCCAAGAGTCTGCAGATCTCCACGGACTTCTCATCGACGCGGCCGATGGTGCGCTCCCGGTCTAACATGTCTATGGACACGAGTCGCAGCATACCCGCCTGCAGCTACAGCACGCAGCACCAGCTGGAGACGAGCAGTCCGCAGTACGCGGAGCCTCGCGGCTACGACTCCTCGTCGTCGTGCGAGCGGCCCGCTTCCATGACTGACCTGCCCATCATGATCCCGCTGGACCCCGTCACCGGCGCCTACATCCCCTACCCCGAGTACTCCTACTACCAGGACGACGCAGTCCGCGTCAATCGCTACAAGTGGAAGCGCAACCGGGGCATTAACACCTCCAAATCAAACAATCTTTTCCTAGCGTTCATGTATTAAACGCGCGGTTATTACATGTTATGAGTTTCGATCGAACGCCGTACAGTGTATGAAGCCCATATCAAACTCGTCTTTCGCTTTGCAAAAAAAATCATACACTGCTTTCTTATGGGCGAACCCGAATCTGGTCGAATGACGAATACTTGCATTGGCACCATTTTATATAGGTTAGCGAAGATCCGTTTGAAACGCTTCTCGAATGTTCTCGCAGGACTTTTTAAAGGGACCTTCGCTCGGACCTCTGAGGCACGGCTTTACGAAACTCTTAACAGCACCGGACCTTTACAATTTGCTGATTTAAATCCGTATTCGATTTCGAACAAAATATTTCCGAGAATGTTTTTAGATTTTAGTATGAGAGGTATCGAAGTTATTGCGAAGGGTGACTTAAAATAATTTAGGAGTAAGTCGAAGCACTCGACTCCGCCATAAGTGTATCGAGGAACAAAAATATATAGTTTTTAAGATTAGATATAAATATATATCTTCATATGAATGTAACGGGTGATTGTGGAATGTAATTCGTATTAGTGCCTTTTTAATAAATGCTCACTCTATTATTTAGAATATACATATCCTAAAGTAGTTCTAGTTTAGTTCAATATGTATTTTTATAATCAATTGTCATGTCTATTTGTTTCTAAAGACGTAGGTAGAAAAAATTGTGAACAGAAATTGTATTATATTTTAATAATTTTGTCTTAGAAATACGGGACAAGAGAAACTGACTGAGGATTTAGTTCCGTCCTAACATCGAACTGTTTGCTTGAAAACCTTTGTTTAATATTTTCTACGCTTTAGACGTAATAGTATGTTTTTTTTTGTAAATGTATCCTTTATGTATCTGAGCAATTGTGAAGTTTTTTTTACCATATTTTCAATTCGAATTTGTATTTAAAATTGCTATAAAATAAAAATTGTAAAATATTTTTTTTATTTTTATTCACCTGAAAAATCTCTATTCTAAGCATAAAAATAAACAAACGTAATATATAAAAAACCTTTATTAAATCTGTACAAAATATTTAAATATGGCGACACTGGATGGAATGATTAATATTTAAAAAGTATCACATCTACGAGGCATTTCATAATTCTTGGCGGTATATTATAAATTCATCACTTAATTCAAAATTGGTAGCATTTTAGCTATCATTTAAAATATTTAAAAAATGTAGCGTCAAATATGATAATCAGATAAAACATGACAAAAATGACATCTCACACAGCTCAAAACCTTATTTAATACTTCAATAACCGTTGGTTTCTGAGACCAAAATCTCTGTATTTGTCATTGCTACTTTTGAAAAAAAAACAAATTAAAAATATGTCTCAGAAACCCACGGTAATTATTTCTATGAAAGTGAACTCGTCATACAAGTCTGGCAATGACAGTGTTAAAAGATTATATGGCTGTATCTATAATAGGGCCTGGATGGGAAAGGGCCTGTTTTCTCTCCTGTACGGCTGTGACCAGCTTCCTGTAGGGCCCTAGGGGCAGGCCTAGGGACTTCATGTCGCTCTCCGTGAGCAGCATGAGGGCGTCCAGGTCGATCTGTTCGTCCTTGAACTTGTGCACATACTGCGCGAGACCCCACGCGATCAGGAACCTCTCCAGCGACGCGTACCCTGACTCCTCAACCTCGCCTTCCTCATCTGATGTTATAGTTGAGCTTCCTGCAAATTAAAAAAAAAAATTATATAGGTTGACTTTATTAACCATTTTCCTAAAATAATTCAAATTGGTCGTAAGTTTTACCAGAATGCACAGAGTTCCACTCAGCAGGTTGGTATGCGTGTCTTGCTAGCGAGCCCGCAGACCCTATGGAGAGGTCCTCACCCGGCCCGCCCACGCCCGGCAGACCACTCAAAGTTGCTGTTATAGACCGCCTGGAGAAAACACATGAAATAGGATTTAAAAAATTCAAACCACTCTTCTAAAATCTATGGCAACCGAAAGTGCTGTTCACAACTATACTTCTGTGCTGTGGATGACTTATTGTTACCTGAAGGCGACACTGCCAAAACCGGGGCGGTCGAAAATACTGGCGGGCTCCTGCAGCAGCACCTCCTGCCCCAGCCCGCTGTCCTCGCCTGCCACTGCTGCTAAGAAGTCCGGCTGGCTCGCAGACCTTCACAATGTACAAGTTCATAATAAACTCCCGACAACTTTGTATGTTAAAAACATTTGTAGTACTTTTACTACAAAATAGTTAATGTCAAGTTTCAACCAATAGATGGCGCTTTATTTAAGTCAGTATTTTTAATGTGCACGTGTGCGTGTATCTGCATTTGTTATTACGTGTAATGTTTAGTTTTTGGATTCCGAGCAAAGCTCTCTCTGTGCGTGGGTGCCTGTGTTTGTGACTTACGTCACGTGCCGACATGTTCTCACCTGACGAGCGTGCTCTTGTGCGGCGTGTCTGTGTCTGCGAAGACATCGGCGACGTTAGCGCGCTGGTGCGGCTGTGGGCCGGCCCCGAATGTACCCACATACATCACCTCGGAGTCGCGCCGCAACCCGCTCAGTGACGTCACAGACCGTCGCCCCGTGCGCTCCACCTCGCCCACCTACAAATATATGACACCCTAGAGGTCACTGGTGGCTTCGTCAGTGCAGAATTAAAAGTAGCCTATAACATGACCGCGTGCATCAGCTCTATCCAAGTCCCGTCAAAATCGGTTCAGCCGTTCCGGACATAATCCGGAACAAACGCAGCCTTGTGGTCCAGACATACAAAAATTGGTTTTTGTTATCAGCTACGCAAATACCCAAAATACTTGTAATTATATCCATAACTTTGGCATTTTACATTTTTAAATGCACAACCAGTAAAATTTAATGCGACATAGATGTATCTCCTAGACAATATCGAGTAGATAAAACCTTGTCTCACTAGTAACAGCATAGTACCTTGAAGTCGTCGTTATTACTGCTGGTCTTGCCGAGAGTGCCGTTGCGCAGTTTGCTGGCGAGCGCCTTCTTGTAGACAGCGCCTCGGCCGCGAGCGCCAGAGCTCACCGTGCCCACCAGCGCGCTATACGTCGGCCGCGGCTGCTCATCCGCTAAAAGATTACCTGCAAAAAACATTAACTTAACACTAGCTATCGCCCGCGTCACCGCTCCCACGGAATTTAATAAATAGTAGTAATAGTAGGCTATATGTTCTTCCAGGTTGTTCTACATATCCAAATTTTAGCGAGATCCATGCACCCGTTCTGGAGATACCGTCTCACAAACATCCATCTATCCGTCCATACATTAGAATTCATCACAAATATTTTTTGATTTTCTTGCACAAAATTTTATCTTTCCTCTCTGATAGTTCTATACTACATCCTCTAGTAGCCAAACGAAATAACTATTATCAAATTATAAATCCCGTTACCTACATACCTTATTGTCACACTCACACACTCAGAGATGTTATTGGATCCCTATAAGGGTCCCTTAGTGTAGATTTAAAATGAGAATTTGTCACTAACAAGATGCTTAATTTACGATTAAACACGTGTAGCAGTTACTTTTGCAAGCTAACTACTGACTGAGCTATAGTAGTTTTAGCAATCGGAAAATTTCCTTAATTATAAAATATATTAAAAATGAAAGTAGTCTTTCTTGTATCAAATTAATTATATTTTAAATCGTTAAATTTCTCCAGCACGCATAACTAATTATATTTTGATGATGATATTTGCATAACAAAGTATAAAAAAGGCCGAATGTTGATTAAGATAAAAGATAAACTATGACTTGATAAGCTTTTAAAACTTCCGTTTAAATCAAGATTGATGGAAACTATCAATACTACGTAATAGCTACGTCATTTCGCATACTATATCTAGGCTCAATCTTTGTCGTCATATCATGACAAGTGAACCGCTGGTCCCTATTTTTAGCTCTTATATTAGTAAATCTTAGTTAAGGTTCACCCAGTGGAATACCACGACCACACACGGCTCAGAAGAAACAATTCCACGTTTCGCCTGTTGAGTGTGGTGGAGGAAGCCCAATTTTAATCCTTTAAAGAAAAGGATAGGAGGTGCAAGTGGATTTGACAGAGTAAAGGACCCATAGGACCTTTGTGTGTCTCCTCCGTCGATTGAAAGTTGATCTATGGGCAGCAGTCGCTTCGCTTTTTCAGCGAATTCAAGTGGCTATTATTACGTTTGCCACCTTTTGATATAAAAAAGGTACTCTTTGTATTGGGCGACCCATACAATTTTCTTGACAAGTTGATAGCTTCTTCTACTATTGTTCTACTCTTTGTTCACTCACCTTGACTAGTAGACCGTATCATCCTCTGTTTGAGCGCCATAAGAACGTTGCTAGGTCGATGCGGCATCGTGGACACCTCTTCAGTATACCCCTGGTCCCAGTCTTTGGTCAGTTTCTTTAGTTCTTTCTCCGCTATTACTTCTGCTTTGCTTTGTCTTTTCGCGTATTGCTTTTGCATTTTTTCATGATCCTTTCGAGCCTTCTCTTTTAATGATTTTGCTTTCTTTCTGGAGAAAAAAGATTATAACATGTTATTATATTTGAGCATAACTATGTATTTTCCTCTACAAGTCGATTCGTCGTAAGCAATTGTTTTCGCAATCTTGTCGTAGTATAATAAAGTTAAACGATCTAAAAACTCAATCTTCGATACGACATGTAGCTTTGGTTCATGAGACAATTTTGCACCCGACGAATAATAAACTCTTCAAACTGTATCTTAAAAGTCTAAAGAGGCAGTTTTGGGTTTTTGGTCGGTTATAAAATATGACTTACTTGTCAGTGTTTTCCAGCTTGGCTGTGGCCTGGTCAAGGAGTCGCAGGATATCCTCGCGGTTGTTGATTGCGGCCAGCTCCTGCGCTGTGTGACCATCCACATCGACCGCGTACGGGTTAGCGCCGAAGTTGACGAGGAAAGTCACGCATTCCTTGTGGCCGCGTGCTGCCGCCAGATGGAGTGCTGTGTTGCCGAAATAATCTGCTTTGTCGGGCTCACCACTGGAATTAAATTTATAATTCATGGAATAAATAGACGAGAAAAGCATATATCAACTATATAATTAATAGATGTAAGAAAATAGATTAAATGTTTGGACAACAGCATAGGTGATAGATAATTTACAATGTGCTCCTTAGTTTGTTCTCATAGAACGCACACGGATGGTATTTTTAATTCAACTGTCAAAATATTATACAAGACTGACTCGATGCCTCTAAATGAAGAGATTAATCTTATTAAAAGTATTATTAATTTATTATAATTATAAAAAGTCGAGACTGGATAAGCGAGAGTCCTAGCGACCGTGATATCTTTCTCGCTAGAGGTTTCTCTTACCCGAGTTTCTCGCTTATGACAGTCGTCGAATGGAACCGGACAAAGATTCCCACTTATGAAGGTTCCCGCTTATCCCAGGTTGTGCTGTGTAATACTTTTAGTAACGAATATATCCTTCGATGTTTACCCTTATAACCAAACCATTGAGATTTTTGTGTCTACAATTAATGTCGTATAAATCGGACCCGCAGAGTACCTCAACAATAAGTAACAACAAAGTACTGTCTATCGTTAGACTCGTGAGAAATAACATCATGTTTATAAAAAGACAAGAAGCTAAAGAAAGTGTTAACGGTATGCAATCAGCGACATGACCCCAGACGGCCCCACGCGGCAGGTTAACGAGTTAATTCAGCGTAAACGTTAATTCATTGCGATGAAAGTGAAATCGAGCAATAAGGACTTTGCCACACCAAAAGCTTTAACAATGCTATAATATAAAATTTTAATCTATATCGCTATTTTTATCAATAATTGAAGGGCCGCGAAGTCCTGGAATACGGTCACTGATTGGTCGACGCAGCATGGGTAGGCCCTCTGCAAAATGACCGATGAAATGATGATGTGGTCAAGGTTGCGGGACCCGCATCCTAAAT